GCTCAAGAACTGCAGCCAGCTAATCAAAACGCTCAAAAGTAAGCTTAAGGTGAAATGTGTTTGAATATTTACTTTGTTAAACTAAATTGCCAATAAAATTGAGCCGTTACAGGCGTCCAAATTATTGATCCTGTGAATTTTGATTTATCTACGCCACCCAAGATTAATTCACCTCCATTGGCAGTTTCCTTGTCAGCTCTTTTAAAGAACGAGAAATAACCAAATAGATCATCTATAGCCCGATCTCCTATAAATATTGCAATACATACGTAGAGAAATAAAATGAAAATTGAGGAGCTGTTATTTGTTTTAATCGATATAACTGATAGACAACAGGATATTCATCATCTGCTACTTGACTAATAAAACCCATACCAATAAGACCATCATATGTACCCTCAACAACAGCAGCACCGGAGGTAACTTCAGCAAATTGCTGTGTTATAGTTGCACCAGCAATCTATTTATTAAATGACACAATCAAATGAACACTATATATAAACTCGATAATAAACACTAATCTATACTTACACGAACTTGATCAATTGAAAAGAAACCATTAACATTACCTTCACCATAGGTAATTTCAAAAGGATCACCTTGAGGTATATAGGTTCTTGATAATTTGTTATTATACAAATTATGAGCTCCTATGGTTATAAATAAAATATTTATTGTTCAAAAGCATTTCTTCTAATGCTCTGCGTCAAAAGTATTACTTACTACAGTATGATGCTCGACATTGGCTTGAAAATACCCACATATCAGCAGAACCTGTATCGAAATCCATATAAAATGTACGCGGAGGTGTGCCGATTGTAATTGCTCCAAAATAATAATACTTACAAATCAAATTAAATATATAGTTAGTTATATTCATGAGCTTATTTTCATTTCAAACAATTTACCCATTGAGAATTTAAACCCTCAACAAATATACCACTACTTAATGATTTTGCTTTTTCATCTATATTCTCTGTTACAATTCTGTTTTCCGGTGAATGAGTACCATTATGATATCTTCTATGATTTTTCGTTAAATGTCGTTGTGTTGGATATTTAACATGAACACGAGTCATTGGGATACTACATACAGAAACAAATAGAATTCTATACTTTTGTTAGATACCACTTGCGAAGACAAAAGAAATGCAAAAGCTGAGAACTGAGAATGGGATTTCGAAAATCTTTTCCTCGAACTAAGCTGCTTGTTATGTCCTTTCTCAGTTATTCAAATGAGGGTAAAACATTTCAAAACTCCCCACTGCAGTAAAATGCGATGCTAGATCTATACTTTGACTCTAAAGATTTTGATTGTATTTTTGTGCGCGGATAGGCACCTCGCCCATCAGGGAAGGGACGCTATGTGGATAGTGAGAGTGAGTAATAAACAACATTCCTCGAGAGAATTCAAACGCTGAAAATCGTTTAGGTGACAACTGATATAGCAAAAGATTATAATTAGAAGAAAATATGTAGTAAACAACGTCATTGTGAACATTCACTGGTACTGCAATTGAAAGAAGCGACTGAGTCTAGAACAGCTGAAAATTGACGTAGACTGTATAAGAAATTGCTGTATATAGATTTTGCTCAAATGTCCGTTGATGAATTAAGAAAAGCATACGATCTCCTGTATTTAACGTTACGTATTTCGTACATACCGTAATAATTTTGGATTATCGATATGCGATGATGGATTTGTGGTGAGAGTTGCATTTTTACGTATTGTTGCTGATTTTACAATAAGAACCGTTAAACAGATAAGAATAATGTTACCAATGAATACCATATTGCTATTGTAGCTTTGTCCCTTCTTCGTTTCCTTCGTGTTGTTGAAAATTCGAATGTAAAAATACGTATGGTTAGATTATTACTTTATATAGCGAGCAAAGTACGATAAACGGTTTTGGTTGAATGCGGAAGACGATCGGAAAATTCCAACATAATAAAAGTACTAATGATCAACACACGTATGACCCATTCTTATCCCAAATAGAAGAAAATGATGAAATATTTCATGTTGAAAAGTATTCTTTTTGAATACTTCATCATTTTCTTCTATTTGGGATAAGAATGAGTCATACGTCTGTTGGTCATTAGTACTTTTATTATGTTGCAATTTTCCGAATTGCCTTCCGTATTCAACCAAAACCGTTTATCGTACTTTGCTCGCTATACAAAGTAATAATCTAACCATACGTATTTTTACATTCGAATTTTCAACAACACGAAGGAAACGAAGAAGGGACAAAGCTACAGTAGCAATATGGTATTCATTGGTATATCTACTTCCAGAGAACTCAAATAACACATCCTCAGAGCGTAGTGCTATAATGTTTTCTTTCTCAATAGTGTGAAACTGGGAAATAGATTTCTCAGTGGTAGTGACA